AACCTTCATACACCACATACGACCTATTGTTCTGCTGATAAATCCCAGAAGCCAGACTGGGATGTCCAGTTGCGAAGAGAAGCAAGCTGATGGTATTCACACCACCCCATGGTCCTGATCAGGGTGGGAGCCACCCTCTGCTCCAGGGCAGAGCCCTTGCACTGTCAGCCTTAGCTCAGTCCCCCTGGATACCACAGAGCCAAGCACAAGATGCAAATCTGTTGGAAATCTCTCTCTGGGAGTGTTATTGCTCATTAAATGGCACAGATTTTAAAGCCATCGGTGCCAGGCCAGTATAGGAGGCTAGAAAGCCTGCATGTCCCTTCCAGCCCCTGGCAGGCTGGGGATGGAGCCTGGAACAACTGTCCCAGGGAAGGGAAACAGCCATTTCCAAATAACGCATCCTGTTAAACTGCTGCCGTCGGAAAATTTAAAAACCAGCGTCTTAAAGCAAATGGCTTCATTTATTGAAGGGGATGAAGAAATATATGAAGGTGACTAAGTGTGGGGTGTGAGCTTGGAATTTAAAAACATGTTGAAATATGTTTTCTGCCTCGGCCACACTGGCTCAACGTGCAAGAAGTCACCATCTGAAGCTCACTATGGGGAATGTGCCAAGAGTGGGAATTTCCATGTTGACCTTTAACGGCAAAGATGTTACAACCGTCAGTGCCTGCATCAGCCTGACAGAGCACCACAAGCTCCACTTCTGGCGCGCTCCACCCATCTCCCACGCAGCCTGAGGACTGGAGAAACGTGAGTGAGCGGGGTACATTTATTTCTCATATGGGCATGACAAGAGTCATCCCACTTCTCAATACCCACGTGGAGGACCGGAGATGGGAATCCACTCCATCCCCTTGCTCAGGACACAGCCTGAAAGGAGCCCCAAGGCAATGTGGTGTGCTGGCACAGTGGGTCTTTCAGTGATGGTGACCCAGAGCTGAGGTTTGCAGCATGCAGAGTGCTACCTGGTACTTGTATTTTGCAGCGAAATGTGCTGCACATTTCCAGTCTCAGCTGTCCTGCGGTCACACGCAGAGCTGACGAGGTTAAGCAGCCTCTGTGCCATGTAAGATCATGCCTGCGGGAAGCCTTCCACCACTCTGCCGATGATGACCCTAGTTTCACTTCCCAGTTTCATTTCCAAGACGGAAATGCATCCTTGAGGAGGGTGTGTTTCAAGACACCTCTGCACCAGCCGCAGTCTCATGGGGCAGGTCAGCACCCTAGCCTTTAACCCCCTTGAACCCTTTGAGTTTGCAGTTCTCTGTTACAGCTGGTCTGTGAAGCCAAAAGACATTAATTACGTTCTCCAAACATAACAAGAGATGTTTTCTTCTGTTCCCATCCTTGAAATGAGATGAGCTTAGATGTTTAAAAAATCCAGATCTAACAGGGAAATGAAATGCTCCCTCTGAATTTGGTAACATACTTTCCAGCCAGCTCTCGACTGTTGAGGGGGGGCTAACATGAAGGACACGTCAGGGAGGTTGCAGGAACATGCTGGGAGGGTGTAGCAAAGGAAAGCAATGCTTCTGAGTGGGGAGAGCAGACCCCAGACTAGGTTTGGGGCTCTAGCAGCGCGGGAGGCACCCTCTTCCCAAGGAAGCCAACAAGGTGGATCGAGACCCGCTCCATCTCTCTCCCCGTCTCGAAATACATCCTCACCCCACTGCCATGCACATCTCACTGTCACTCAGGCAGCTTCTGGCAGGACACCCAGCCGTCCTCATTTCACCCCAGCTGCCTCTGCCCTCCCCCTCGCTGCCCGCCGGGATGAGAGCTGCAGACCAAATCCCCTCTGTGCTCACCCCGGCACCGCGCAAACCCGGCTCGGCAGCCCAATGCCAGCACCGCATGCCGCAGCTCCGGGCCCCGAGTGGGGTCATTGCTGGCAAGCAGGAATCAAGGTAGTGGCTTCTGGCAGAAACATCCAGACTCTGACCCTGATTTCATCCCAGGCTTCCTGACAGCAGGCTGCAAAGTGGGACCCTGCAGTGGCTGAGTGCTCGGGAGGACAGCCACTCTGCCCTCCCTGATAACTGAGTTTGTCTTTTAGGAACTGCACGACAGCTGCTACACCGAGAGGTCTGAAACTACATGCACTAAAAGCCCCATCGCTGGGTCTTTTGATTGCAAGTCTTTTTTTCTAAAGCCCCCTATTTCTGTGGACTACAAAAATATGCAAAAATACCAGCTTTCTCTTGAGAGAAATAAAAAATTATCTCAGCTTTTATGGAGGGGGAAAAAGGGTTTGAAAACAAGCCCTTCCACCACTCCTTCTCCCACCTTCTAGAAAATTAAATTGGTGTGGTTACCATACACTAAAACAAGCCAAC